TGGATCCGAATCGGTGTCATCGATGATGATGTAGTCTTCCGGGCGAATATCCTTGGGTTCTTCGTCTTCATCTACTGGTGTAGGGCCTCCCATAAATATCCCGATCTTCATTGTTAGGTCAGCATTCTTGTCCACCAATACTTCAATTTCCTCTTCATAATCTTCACGTATAGCCTTGAGTTCTTCCTCCAGTTCCTTGATTCTCGTCCTTGCCTTCTTCAGGTCTATCATGTCGGCGCACATCTGGTTCTCTTGTCGTCGAATGTGCTGGTTTAACTCCTGGATAAAAGCTGCAATGGATCTATGTCTTCTGGTGCTGATCATCTCCCAGTGTTCATCTCGGCGCCAACAAATCTGGTAGATAGTATCCTTGAGATCCTTGCGGTAGACTTCTCCAATGCGTCCCATGGCGATGTGAGCTGCCATACTCTTTCCTAGATTCCAAGTTGGTGCATCAAAAAAAAAACTCTATGGGCTCAGTGACTGGCATGAACGTCCTTCCTGGAACTTGAACTTGAATCATCCAGCGCTCTTCTTCAGGTAAAGTGGGGTTGGAGGTTCCGGTGAAGCTTGGTACTCCTATGTTCAGGTATCTAGTGACTTCCTTCAAGTGACGTCCAAGGGGTGTATCGTCATCCGGTCGCGTGAACTTGTTCCTTGCATCCGCCATCCTAAAGAGTAGAAAAGATCAGAGGTCAGAAGAGAAGAGAGTGAATAGTGATCTAGGTCTTTAGCTTAGTGGTCGTGTCCTACAGTCAGCGTGTGCTCTGATACCATCTCTGTAGCGACCAGACCTCAAACAGTCTGATCTCTATGCTCCGGTGTCATCCCTGGATCAGTAATGCTGACACCACACAGTACTCAGAGGATTTATAACAGAGTAGCAATCACACTCTTATTAAATCGAGTGTCTCAATATAGAACTTATTACAATAAATATGGATTAAGGCCATCTAATAACGATAACAGCGGAAGGCTTGGAAGACAAGTGAGTCCATCAACTCCAACGGCATCACTGAGTATAGAACCATGACCTAAAAACTCCTTAATCATCGTCTGAAAAGTCTGCAACATTAACGTTGCAGCCCGAAACGAGTCAGCACATGGAATATGCTGGCAATGTAACACATAGAGAGTAATGGAATGAAACAGCTATACTATATGCATGTTTGGCTGGTGGACAGCTCTATGGTTACAGTTTTGCGTAAAGCCAATTTTTCCCTACTGCAAAGGAATAAATTTATTTAACTATCATGGTAGTTGTTAAACATTGAGAATGGTTGACAGCATTCTCAATCCCAATTAAGAATCATCATTAAACAACCCAACAAAATTAATTTAGAGTAACATGTTGAGATTCACATGATAATCCAGGTACTAGATACTCAAAACGTCCATAACCGGGGACACGGCTAACCATGATTAGTTTATACACTCTGCAGAGGTTTGCGCACTTTTCCCCACAAGACTCGATCGCCTCCATTTGTTTTCTTGCACTACATGGTGTTTGAGAAGACGGATGACCGATACATAGTCTTTCAGAAGCGCTAGCACCTTACGATGTATAGACAGTTACACCTACTTTCCCCTACATCTGCTAGTCTACCCTGTAAGAGTTTGCACGACTTAATCAACTACGCCAGAGCCCATAATGGCTTGTGGCTGCACACAGAAGTTTCTAGTATGAATAATCTCATGATCCCTTTGAGCCTGGGTGGCGGTCCAAAAGAAACAGGCAATCCTGGAATACATAGGTACCTCAATCCACCCAGATGTTTATTTAAGTTGCCACCTTAGATAAACCAATAATTAACAAACTCACATCTGTCATGGATATCACTCATCCAATCCACGTCTACTAGCATAGCATGGCATAATAAGCAAACGTAGAAGTAACTCCCAAAGGTTTGATAATAAACAGGTAATAGGTACTACCTCAACTACTTCCCATCCCACAATTTAATTAGATCCTAATCATGCAATGTTTAAGGGTTGGTCTAATGCAATAAAACTGGGTAGTAGGAAAAAGTATGATCAATGTGTTACTTGCCTTGCTGATGATCCGCGAAACCTAGAGATTCGAAGTAACAGGCGGCGCACTCCGGGTATTCTATCGCAGACAAACAAACACGCATACAATAAGTACTCATCTAATGCACAGGTAAAACTCAAATAAGAGATCTAACCAGAAGGTTCAACTTAAGAACTCCGGTTTGCAAAAAGAATCAAATCGAACGAAGCAACGAAAGTCAAACGGCGAAAGAAAACAACTTCATTCTACTAATCTGGATCTAAGGCAATTTTTACAGTAGCAAAAACTTGTTTAAGTTGGTTAAACGGATAGAAGGTTTCGAGACGAAACTCCAGGCGATTGAATCGCCTGATTCCGATAAACGAGCGAAAAGTTATACTAAAACGAAAATCGGATCAGAAATCACGATCAGAAAAATCACAGATTTAATCCGAGAAAAAAAAACGACGAACGCTCGCTAAAAAAATAAACCGGAAAAACCGATCTATTTAAAAAAAACCGAAAACTAAAAAAAACCAGCGAAAACCGATCTGTTTTTTTAGAAACCGGCGGCGCGGAAAACGAGGCGCACCTCGGGCGACGGCTCTGGCGGCAGGGCGGGGCGCTGGCGGTGGCGGGGCGGCGCGGGGCTCGAGGCGGCTCGGGGCTGGGGCTATGGTTTGGCTTCGGCTGGGCCTCCCCCCGGCTTTTAAAGCCTAGTCGGGCCAGTGTCCGGGTCGGACACGGCCCGTTAGGTCGGTTCCTTTTTTTATAATTACGCGCAGAAGAAAAATAAAAAGAAATACTAAACGGACTCCAAAAATTCCGAAATAAATTTTCCCGGGCTTCTAAAATCAAGCCGCACAAGGTGAATATTTATTTGGGGCCTAAATGCAATTTTGAAAAACGCCCATTTTTCCTAAATTCAAATAAAATAACGAAAAACTCCGAAATAAAATCTTATTTGATTTTATTATTAAATCCTCAATATTTCTTTATTTTGGGAAAGTCATTTTATTTCCTCTCTCATATTTTTGTAATAGAAATAATTGACGATAAAATAATAAAAATCAAATGATCCTATTGTCAAAATTTGAGAAAACTCAAATATGAAAATAAAGAATTTCCCAACTCTCTCCGTGGGTCCTTGAGCTGCGTAGAAATTCCTAGGATCAAACGAAAAGCAAAATAAAATATGATATGCAATGATGATGTAATGTATAACATTCCAAATTGAAAATTTGGGATGTTACAGAAGGTTAGGAGTCACATAAGGGCCTTCAAACCACCATATTGTGAAGGACTCAAAAGTTTGTACACGATAAAGAGATTGCCTTATTTGTGGTTCATCTACCGCGAGTGAGGTCTGAACCTTCACGGATGAGGAGTATGATAATGCATACTATCTAAAGCTTAGGATACACCGTCGAGCCCCCATCTGTCGCAACCCTCTAAACTCAAACTCTACTTTCTTACAAGTTTCTGTTTCTTTTTTAACTTTTGTTAGTTTGCATGTGTACAAGTTTAGTAAGGATCAACCAATCTTGTTCTAAAACTTAACAATCCTAAAACTTTGTGGTAGTGATTATTTTGTAGGACTATTCACGCCCTCCAGTCAGTTCTACATCAACCCAAGCCCCCTTTCACCTTTTTCTACCGTCGTGGTGCTGACTCACTATGACACCTCTCCTCCTATTGACCTACCGCTCAACTCGCCTGGTGTCAATTCTTGTCAATAACGCCTTGTCCTTGTGAACCGCCTACCCCCTAGAGGAAGGGGGCAACTTTGATGAACTCTCCCTTGTTAGTAGGGATGCAAGCGGGGCAGAGATAGCGGGCAATAGCATAGTAAAATATAGCATTAATAACTAATTATTGAGGTTTGCAGGATGGAGCAGGATTCCGCTGGCACCATACCTGTCAGCCATGACGTACTGCTTGCTCTTACTCATCGTCCCTCTTCTCTTCCCACCACCATTCTCCCATGCCGCTCCTCTCACCGCTCATCTCCTCTCATCGGCCCGACGGCCTAGCTTGGACCAAATGTGTTGTTTCTAGTTTCTCCTGTTAACCATTGGATTGATGCTCTATCAAAAATATGGAAAGGGAAATATCTAAGGGAGTGGCTACAAAACGGCCGCCTGAAATTTAAAGTTATCAGTCGATTTCTAGCTTTCAGTCTCAACCATTGGATCAAGATCCAACATCCAGGGCATCATTTTCCACCTCAGCTCTCTTCTTCCTCACCCAATCTTTCCCACAGCAGCCACCACGTACGGACCACCGGCCGGACCGCCAGCCGCCACCACCCGTGGCCGGAGGCGCTCCCGAACAGCCTCGCCCTCCCCGAAACCTCCTCCCACCGGCACACTGCCGTCGCCCCCGACCATCCCTCTAGCCCCGGGCCTTGCCGGTTTATTTTCCTCCGGTGAACCTTCACAACTGCCGTGCTGCCTCCCCCACCACAGCCGTGCTGCCTCCCACCCCCACCCTAAGATATATGATGGGGTTCCTCCCCTCCAGTTGTTTCCCCTTCAACCAAAATTGACTGACCCAAATTCCAAAGTCAGGCGGCTGACATGTAGGTATTATGAATGACGAACCACGTAGGTGGGTACACGCATGGGATTATGCATGTAGAGCGTGCAACATGCAACACATTTTTCATACGGGCAGTGCAGTCGTATTATAAATGACAAGTAGTTAAACGCATGACATGAATTACAGCTCAGAACACAGCTAGCACATAAATAGAGCATGCAACGTAATTTGTATCCATGTGTCTAAGTAGACACAGTGTCACAACTGTCATACCAAATGAGACACTCTGTACCATGCATGTCATTGCGTACATAGTCCGTCGGATACACATGTATCGGTGTGAGCTCTTGCAACCTGTTTCCATATATTTGTAGCAGCCTAGCAATGTGTATATAAACTGACAAACACCTTAGTTTTGTAGAGACCAGACATCCAGAAGAGCGAGGACATGTGTCCCCGGAGCAACTCGGCCTTCGTGCCGCCGGTGCCGAAGCCGCAGCAGAAGAAGTGGCGGCAGGAAGAGGAGTCAGGAGGCGGTCGCAGGGGATCCCGGGCCTCCCGGCGTGCGTTGACGAAGAGCGAGGATGTGCGGAGGTACAGCGCGGTGGAGCGTCGTGAGCGCATCGAGAGATACCGGAGCAAGCGCAAGCGCCGCAACTTCCAAAAGAAGATCACCGTACGTATTTGCTTTCCGATCACCTGGTTGATTTGCATTCATTCGTTCACTCAGCCATGCATTTCTTTCTGTATTACTACTACTTTGCAGTACGCTTGCCGGAAGGCGCTCGCGGATAGACGGCGAAGGATCCAGGGGCGCTTCGCACAAGCCGGAGAGGAAGATCAAAAGGCGTGCCTTGCAGAAACGACAGACCAAGGTTCAAGCAGCAGTAGCGGAAGTGCGGTGCCGGAGTGGTGGCCAGCAATGGAGGAGGCGCTGGCCAGGAAGGAGGAGGTGGATGGCATCACTAAGCTCCTCCGCTGGGACCATGAGATGCTCGTCTCATACCTCGGCCTGAACCTCTCCTGTGCTAGTGACCCTTCCAATCATCCATCCACCTGAGCAATGTAGTGCAATCAAACGCCGTCTATCCAAGGTCACAAGATTGAATTCCGAAGTTAAAGAGAAAAAAAGGAGTCATATGTTGAGTTTTTCATTTTTCTACTATTTCCATTTCTGAAATGAACTTTTGATCCATCTATGAAAGCTGTTTATTTTTCCTTTTTTGAGATCCTATGGAAGCTGTAGGAATTGGAAATTCTGGCCAACTCACGGGCCAAATCGAACTTGGGCTATGCATCTCAAATTCTTGTATCTTTGCGGTGCATAATTTGCTTAAAGAGAGAATATTATTAATGCTTACTGGATGTGGTCCGGCACAGCACGTTTGGTCCACGCGTTGTCACGATGGAGTAGACTGGAGTGAATGCCAACACTCAACTTCGACCTCATCGGGTAGTTGTCCTCTTTGTGTAGTGACCTACAGTCCGGTAGGGATCTCCGGTCCGGCGTAACCCTAGTCTTCCAGTGTTTATGGAAGCACCACAATAACATGGTCTTTCATGAGGTGATAGCCTCTCCCCAACTGATGTTGCACCACATTAAGAGAACTTTTTTACATGGGTCTCTCCAAAGTTGATCTACAACACGGCCTTTGACTGCGTGGGCTTGGTGCCGTGTGTGGCATTGCATAGTCACTTGGTACCTTGCCATATGTTCCGATAAGCCTCCCATCAATTATCCATGAAAAACTATAAATACCTGTTTGGTATACAATTATAACAACATACCTATGGGGAGAAGGGATTTATTCAGACAGAAAACAGAAAACCACCCAACCGCTCCCGCGTCGCTCCGACGGCAACGGGAGGGAACCCTAGCACGCCGCTGCCACCCCAAGCTCCTCCATCCCTCTTATTTGTCGCCGCTGGCATGCTCGGTCTGGCAAAGCTTGGTTGGTGCCGGCAGCCATGGGCCAGCTTCATCTCCTCGCATGTTGGGGCTGACGCGGGGCAGCTGCTACGAGCCAGGGCGTGGCGCGGACAACTAGAACCACGACGCGACATCCTGTAGGTGCGTTTGCGGTGTGATGGTTAACACAGAGGGTGGTGGCCTTGGCGGCTATCCAGGCTTCGCCCAGATCTGGCGTGCAGTGGCTACTGGGGGTGAGGACTGGGGATGCATGAGCCGGAGGCTGCTGTCCTGCTTTCTGGTGGTGGTGGCTGACGGCCGCAGTGGTTTTGGCCCCGCACTTGGTTGGATGATATATAGGCCAAGGCAGGTCGGGATGGTGGAGGTTTGGTGGCAACAGCGTCGCGGTCATGGTCTTGCAGCTGGCATAGGGTGGTGGTGGTGGCATACCTTCTCCTGGGCCTGATCCGGCGGCGTGTGACGCGGTGGTTCTAATCTAGGGTTTGTGCTCGAGCAGGCCAAATATGGGCCCGAGGAGGATCAGACTTGTCCCTCTGGATATGTGAGGTTGGGTTTGATCCGGGTTGTGCATGCGAGTGATGCTCTCGCGGGTGCGGTGGGGGTGGTGGTGGTCGTGACGCCACTACGCTGTCAGATGGATCGATGTCGATGGCCATGGTCTTGGCATCATTCAAGCTCACCTAGGCCACTCTTGAGGGCTATGGCCGACGACTATTGGCAGTATCGGGGTCGTGTCCCCCCACCCCCCACCCACCGGGGTTAGTTGAGGATGCCAATGTCGATGCCTCCTACCGTGGGAGGGTGGGTGGGGGGGAATATCTAGTGCACCCAACCATCTTGTGCTACCTGTGCACCAAGTTAATAAAATCCAATTTATGAATGTCAAAAAATTCTGAAAAATTTATGTTGTACTAGCAACAAGAATCTGTCATACTGCCAAATTTGAGATCCAAATTAAAAACACAACATTAGAAACAAAAAAGACAAATTTACCGATGATATAGAAAATGGGTTGAATTGAAGGCCCAGGTTGCATTAGGTACTATTCATAGATGCCAGTCTAGGAGTGGAAGGAGTGCTTTCTACTCTTTCTATTGGGTTGCTGTGCAGTTACATGGATGGTTGTCAGTGTCTAATCGGGACAAGGATGCTTGGGTGGCGGCCCTGGATGGAGTTCGCATGGTTGGCTCTTCGCTGGGCATCATGGCGGCGATGGTGGCTATGTCTGTTGGTCGTGTGGGCAACCAGGGGTGTAGCGGTGGGTGGCTCGGGCTCACCCTTTATCGTTGGCAATAGCGACGCCAAGATTCAGATGTGGAGGCTTGTACTGGTCTTGAGTGTCATGGGTGCCTAGTGGTGATTGATAACCCACAAGTATAGGGGATCACAAACAGTTTTCGAGGGTAGAGTATTCAACCCAAATTTATAGATTCGACACAAGGGGAGCCAAAGAATATTTGAAGGTATTAGCAGCTGAGTTGTCAATTCAACCACACCTGGAGATTAATTATCTGCAGCAACGTGATCAGTGGCAAAGTAATATGATAGTTTTGATAATAGTAGCAACAACAATGGTAACGGTAGCAGTGATAACAGTAGTTTTGTAACAAGTGCAACAGTAACGATAGCAATGGTAACTTAGCAAGAACAATATAGGATAAATTCGTAGGCATTGGATTGGTGACTTGTTGGATGATATTCATCATGAGACAGTTATAACCTAGGGCGATACGGGACTAGCTCCAGTTCATCAATATAAATAGGCTTGTATTCCGTAAATAGTCATGTGTGCTTATGAAAAGAACTTGCATAACATCTTTTGTCCTACCCTCCCGTGGCAGCGGGGTTCTATTGGAAACTAAGGGATATTAAGGCCTCCTTTTAATAGAGAACCGGAACAAAGCATTAACACACGGTGAATACATGAACTCCTCAAACTATGGTCATCATCGGGAGTGGTCCCAACTATTGTCACTCCGGGGTTGCCGGATCATAACACGTAGTAGGTGACTATAACTTGCAAGATTGGATCTAGAACATGGATATAATGGTGATAACATAAACAGTTCAGATCTGAAATCATGGAACCTGGGCCCAAAATGACAAGCATTAAGCATGGCAAAGTCATAGCAACATCAATCTTAGAACATAGTGTATACTAGGGACCAGGCCCTAACAAAACTAACTCAATTACATGATGAATCTCATCCGACTCCCCACCGACCAGCAAGCCTATGTAGGAATTGTTAGGGAACACAGTAATTTCAATATTTTCCTACGCACACGCAAGATCACGGTGATGCATAGCAACGAGAGGGGAGAGTGTTTTCTATGCACCCTCATAGACCGTAAGCAGAAGCGTTATGACAACGCGGTTGATGTAGTCATACGTCTTCACGATCGACCGATCCTAGTACCGAAAGTACGACACCTCCGTGATCTGCACACGTTCAGCTCGGTGATGTCCCACGAACTCACGATCCAGCAGAGTGTCGAGGGAGAGCTTCGTCAGCACGACGACGTGATGACGGTGATGATGATGCTACCGGAACAAGCCTTCGCCTAAGCACCGCTACGATATGACCGAGGTGGATTATGGTGGAGGGGGGCACCAAACACGGCTGGAGATAATCAACTTGTGTGTCCTAGGGTTCCCCCCTGCCCCATATATAAAGGAGCAAGGGGGAGGCCGGCCGGCCTAGGGGCGCGCCAAGGAGAGGGAGGAGTCCTCCTCCTAGTAGGAGTAGGACTCCCCCTGTCCTAGTCCAACTAGGAAGAAGGAGGAGGAAGGAAAGAGAGGGAGAGAGGGAGGGAAAGAGGGGGCGCCGCCCCTCTCCTTGTCCAATTCGGACTCCCAAGTGGGGGGGGGGGGGCAGCGGCCAGCCCTATGGCCCCTCCTCTCTCTCTCACAAGGCCCATGTTGGCCCATTAGTTCCTCCGGGGGGTTCCGATAACCCCCCGGCACTCCAATAATTATCCGCCGACCCCCGGAACTCATCATGTGTCCGAATATAGTCATCCAATATATCAATCTTTATGTCTTGACCATTTCGAGACTCCTCGTCATGTCTGTGGTCACATCCGGGACTCTGAACTACCTTCCTTACATCAAAACACATAAACTCATAATACTGATCGTCACCGAACGTTAAGCGTGCAGACCCTACGGGTTCGAGAACTATGTAGACATGACTGAGACACGTCTCCAGTCAATAACCAATAGCGGAACCTGGATGTTCATATTGGCTCCCACATATTCTATGACGATCTTTATCGGTCAAACCGCATAACGATATACGTTGTTCCCTTTGTCATCGGTATGTTACTTGCCCGAGATTTGATCGTCGGTATCTCAATACCTAGTTCAATCTCGTTACCGGTAAGTCTCTTTACTCATTCCGTAATGCATCATCCCACAACTAACTCATTAGTCACATTGCTTGCAAGGCTTATATTGATGTGCATTACCGAGAGGGCCCAGAGATACCTCTCCGACAATCGGAGTGACAAATCCTAATCTTGATCTATGCCAACTCAACAAACACCATCAGTGACACCTGTAGAGCACCTTTGTAATCATCCAGTTACGTTGTGACGTTTGGTAGCACACAAAGTGTTCCTCCGATATTCGGCAGTTGCATGATCTCATAATCATAGGAACATGTATAAGTTATGGAGAAAGCAATAGCAACAAACTAAACGATCATCATGTTAAGCTAACGGATGGGTAAAGTCAATCACACCATTCTCTAATGATGTGATCTCGTTAATCAAATGACAACTCATGTCTATGGTCAGGAAACATAACCACCATTGATTCAACGACCTAGTCAAGTAGAGGCATACTAGTGACACTCTGTTTGTCTATGTATTCACACATGTACTAAGTTTCTGGTTAATACAATTCTAGCATGAATAATAAACATTTATCATGATATAAGGAAATATAAATAACAACTTTATTATTGCCTCTAGGGCATATTTCCTTCAGTCTCCCACTTGCACTAGAGTCAGTAATCTAGATTACATTGTAATGATAACACCCATGGAGTCTTGGTGCTGATCATGTTTTGCTCATGAGAGAGGCTTAGTTAACGGGTCTGCAACATTCAGATCCGTATGTATCTTGC